GGCTGGCCAAAAGCTGAATTTCAATATGCACAATTTCTGTAAGTTTTGTCCTTGGAAATGTTGTTAACGGTCGTTAAAATGCTTATAAGCATTGCCAGACAGCCTCTAGAGCTTAAAGCCCTTGTTTGCTTTCCTTAATTTTCAAAATACATTTTTTTCTCTTTTCTTTTCAATCACACATTTTTTAATAAAATAATATTACACATAAACCTAAAAATTTTCCTCATTTTTTAGGCATACATGATGTCATTTTGCTCAGTCTATTACAAGATCTTCTGGAGATCTAAAGCAATTAATTAAGACATTAATGTACCAACATTTCAAGAATAAATATGACGTTGGTGTAAATGGTCCCAAATCTTTGGACTTCTTACAAATTTGTCCCAAACTTTTCAAGTTTGGTATTACATTCCACAACTAGGTCATTAGGAACGAAATTGATGGATTCAGCTCACGATAATCTTAGCTATTGTTTGGTCCTCATTCTTTAAAAACTCATTTTTTCTCAAATTCATTTTTAATTGCATATCTTTCAATAAAATAATTTTACATGTAAATTTAGGGTCTGTTTGAGCCCCTTTTTATTGTAGAATACATTTTGAAATATTAGATTGACATAGAATGTGTGATTAAAAAAATAAGAAAAAGTTTTAGATTTACGTGTAATATTATTTTATTGAAAAATGCGTAGTTGAAAAGAAGAGAGAAAAAATGTATTTTGAATAAAATGAGAATCAAACAAGTGCTTAATTTTCTTTTTTTACCTTTTAACCATACATTCTCAAAAAAAAAAAAAATTGTTACAAAATACATTATTCCAAAAAAAGGGGGTATGTGAAGACCACGTGCAGAACTAAGATCAATTTGGACAAAATCCACTCAAATGGACCGATTTTGCACTTCTATTTTTGGGATGCCAGTTCCAAAATATAGAGAATTTGAATGTTTGGGACTATTTGCACCGATTTCTTCTAAAGAAAATGTCAATAATTCTTTCAAAATTTGTGCTAAAATAGTGACAAGTTCTATCATTCTCTCTCTACGGATGACAAAATACTCGTTCTTTGCCCCCTCATTGTCTATTCAAATAG